TAAAACTATTGTAGGAATAAATATATATTATTTTCGTTATTTTTTAGATTTTTTATATTTTTTTAATATTTCGAGTGTTCATTGTACATGTGTAGTTTGATTTTGTGTATCTATATTATTAAGAGTTAAAAATAATAAATTAGCTGCGCAAAAAAGCGTTTTTAAAAAGTTGTGAGTAGGTAATAACTATTCAAATGTCGTGATAGAGTTTGCTTTTGTGTATATGTGTAAATGAATAATTTTTGTAATATTTACTATTAGTGTTGTGTATGTGTACGTGTTAGATTTTTTTAAGCATACAATACGATAACAGGCAAATAAATCGATTTTTCTAAAATTTTATGCGGCTAAGGAGTAAGATACGCAGGATTGCTTGTAAATGATTAAGACATTAAAAGAATCCTAATCGATACAATTTTTAAAATCTAATATTTAGTGAGTATTATTTCCTGTCCCCGAAATTACAAACTTTTGGACGGATTTTTGATGGTTTTTATAACAACTGAAATTAATAATCGAAAATAAATCAAAAAGAAAATAAAAAAAAGTATTAACAATCCTGCGAAAGTGTTATTCACCAGTAGGTGTTGTTGTGTAGTAGTTTAAGTGTAGTAGTAGTGTTTGTTAAGTGTGTGCGTTTCTTCATCCGTTTACCACACATCATCCTTCGACGCTCTCTCTCTCTCTTTCTCTCCCACTCAACACAGGCAACGAATCTAATGAGATTAAAATAAACAAAAATTAAATACAACAATTTCCATATTAAACAAAAAAAAAAAAGAAAAGAGAGCCAACAGCAAACAACGCACAACCGTCCTCATTCATCTCCCTCGTTGTAGTCGGTGCGATTTTCATTTTGCTTTCTCGTTTTTACATGAGTTTTTGTTTGGCGCAATCGGGACAGATGATGTCGTCACCGTCGGTGATGAAACCCCGTCCGACCAAGCTGGTGCGACACGAGGCGCAGAAGAAGCAATCGTTGTGCCAATGTCGGTCCTCGAAGGAGATGAATTTAGTACCACCGATACCGGTGATGGGCTTGCTGCAGGCGGTGCACCGTTTGGCGAAGAGTTCGCCGAAACAGTCGGCACAATAGGGCTTGTCGTCGCGACTGGTGAATCGGGCACCTGCTAGACTCGTATTGCAGTTGGTGCATGTGAAACATTCCCTATGCCATGGTTCGTTCTTGTATGTCACACCACCGCTGGTAATTACCTGAAACGATACAAACGATTAATACAATATGAAGGCATTAAGGGCCCCAGTATCATAATGGACATGAAATGTATTTTTTTAGAAACTTCACCAAACAAAGTAATACAAAAGCTACAAAAAGGGAAGTTTCACTGATTGTAATCGTTTCAACAAATTTGTTTCATAGTACATATTACTTAAGTGTAAGACTTAAAACTTTTAAGTTTTGGGTGCTAGCTACTAATGCTGGTGGGAGGGCAGTTCCACCGGACTACACTGGAAGGTAAGGCGGAAGACCTTCTTTAGCTTCCTTTTAGGAATAGCGGAAATGGTGGGTGGTGGTTGGTGTTAGAAAAATGAGACGGACGAAATGAAGACAGAAGGGAGTGAAAGATTATCTGTGAAGTATTACTACCCCAGCATTTGCCTAAGTGATCCAAGGAAACCACAGAAGAACTTAGACCAAGGCGGACGGATACTATTTATATAATATCAACCCTCCCTCTACTTTTACATAGAATTGTAAAAATACAGTAGTACCAAGTAGTTTTAGTAACTAGCGGCATGGCTTAGACGTTTAAGGTATTACTAAGCATTTGAAAGGACACGATTCGATTCTATGTCCATCTTTCCTTTTCTCCCCTTTTATGTGATTTCCTTAGATCATTTAGGTAAATGCTGGAGCAATAATAATTTTCCATAGATTTCACTTCTTTTCTGTATTCATCTCTGCTGACACATCTTTCTCACTCCAACCACCACCCTTCTATCCCCATGATTGCCAAAAAACGGACAGACACACGCACCCTATAAGGGTTCCCTTTTTCATTCGGAAGTACGGAATCCTAACCCGATAACTAACTTAACATTGTAGTTGAAAAAAAATCTTTTTCCATACATTCAAGCTGCAAATAAAAATTTGTATGCACAACATTATCTTGTTGAATGATTTATCACATTATGTCCACACCATGGACTTCTTATTAATTTTTCTGTAATCTATAAGTAGAGAACTATTTTCTGTATTTTTTTAAAAATTTTAGGTTCAGTAGTTTCGGAGATAAGGGGAGGGGAAAGGTTAATTTTTTTTAAACAACTTTAAAACTATTTATTTTAAAACTATAAAAAAGATATATTTAAGACCCTTACCACAGGCCCTTTTATCCAACATGGTACGGCGAAACACCCAAAACTTTTTACACTTTATTAAAAGTTAAACGTATGCAAATTTATCAAGACAATTAAAATCAGTGAACCTTTTCTTTTTGTTTTTTTTTTGGTATTGGTTTATCATGCAATTTCAGAAAAGTTGCACTAAAAATAATTTAAGGTATATGTCCCATAGTATTTAAAAAAGTTTTTAATTTAATCTCTACTTCTCTACGACTTGCGATGGTTGCTAATAATATAACAAACTAATTGTGAAAGTAATTAAGAATAACATTGTTAGGAAATAAAACCATTTATGATATTAGAATAGCGTTTTCCTATTACTTCCACACAACATACAGGAGAAATCTTACGATCATAAAATGTATGTTCTGCTTTAAGCATCACGATTTCTCTTTTCTTATCTAAATAAGCTAGAACTGAAAACCATGATTTTACTTACAATACGTATAAACGATAAGTACACTGAAAATATTTTACCATGTTCAGTTGTACTCGTGTGCATATAAATTTTCATTAATTTTCGTTGGGTGGCAATAAAATCAACATTAATGGTACATTAGTTGACGAAATTAATAAAGTAAAAATAATAATACAGAAAAGGACTAACCTTGTTGCACTTTACACAACGAGTCGCGTACTTTTCTTCGTAACACTTTGCGCAGTAGATTTCCTGTTCACGGGGGATGAAACTTTGAGTACCGATGGGAGTTTTGCAAACAACACAACAGAAACATTTCTCGTGCCATTGTCTGGTCTTGTATTCCATCTTCTTCGTTCCTGTAAATAAAAAATTATTTTAAACTACAAATAAAACAAGTAACATTTTTACAATATCGATAGTTTCCATTCCTTCAAAATTTCTTTTGAATGAATTTGTAGTCAAGTTTTTGTACAGAAAAACAAATTTGATTTCAATATGGGGTGTCGAGTGGGTTCCTAAACACTTTCTAATCTTGCATTTCATATTTTTTCATATACAACCAAAAATATTCTCCTTTCCGTCCGACTTCAAGCCTTCAAGATAGGAAAATAAACTGATATCTGTCACGTTATAATTTCAATAAAAAAAAAAAAAAACAATAGGTAATGGGTAAGGGAGATTAAAACTTAATGGAAAAAAAATAAGTTAAGGGGAGTAGGTATAGTACATCACCATCTGGAGTGGAATTAACTGAATAACACAAAAAAACTGAATTTTGAACTTTTAGTGATTGATAGCCTTTTCAATATTTATATATTTTAATTAATTTATTGATGGAGGTCAACTACCTGCTGAAGAATAAATTTTATATTAAATTTTTATTTTTCGGTTTCTTCAGTCACATCTTTAACAAATTAAAAATCAATAAATTAACAAGTGTACTCGATATTCGAGCGAATAATTAATTAAACGTTACAGTTCCTACACTTAAATCCGACTATGAACTGGGAAAAAAATTATTTATTTAAGTTCTTTAACTGTATTAGTTTCTTTTACGTATAAAGTAGCAAATGGTAGATACCATTACAAATTGACATTGTGTGCCACTTGTATTGATGTGATTATGTCACTGTTTATAATTATACGTGCACACACACATACTATTCTGTTGCAAAAAGAATGAATTATGCGTCGTCATTCTAAAAATGAGCCAAAAAACCGCTATATTATTACATTATAGTGGAATCGTTGTATTAATTAATTATCTAAAATTATTGACTTCTTGTAAATAAGAGTTAATAAAAAAAATAATAACAAGTTAATAAATAAAACTTCGGAAATACCGGATTTTACTTTAGATAATTTTGAGATTTAATTTTTCATTAATCATACATATTCTGTTTTTTGTTCCAAACGGGCAAGTTTCCGTTACCGTTTTCAATTCATTTTAATGATAGATGACGTTATTGCTATTAACCTTGGCATTCATAAAAGCAAATTTTTGTATCTACTGGAAATAATTATAATGTACTACCATGTAAAACTAATTTTTTTCTATCCCTCGGGAACAGTATATTTTTTCTGGATAAAAGGTACCCTGTGTCCTTTTTTGTACCCCTGACAATCATGTGTGTACAAAATTTCATAATGATTAGTCGAGTAGTTAAGTTGTAATGAAGTAGCAAACAAACTCACATTTGCATAATAAACTATAGTGTATTGATGCAATTAATTTGAAATCTCTAGCATTTGCACAGTAATTGCATTTGCACAGTAATTGCATTTGCATCTCAAAAGTTTAAGGTTTCTCTTACGTTATGCAAGAATTTGTTTGTTTCCAAAAAGTTCACCCTTACGTAAATGAATGGCGAGAACGACAAATCGCAATTTGTAAACAATATGCTGTAATTTTGGCCTAAAATTTTAGCATGAGATGCCACGTTAATATTTTTGTAATTTCTAATTGTTAAAAGAGTGAAAATATTGACAAAGAATATTTTCAAAACCTTCTTTACGGGATAACAATCGTCCTGAATTTCCTGAATATTATATTACAAAATTTAAAGTAATTGTAAGTAGAAATTTTCCAGTGCATAATTTATAATTTTTGTGTTTTCCATTTTAATTTAATTATATTATCAATGTTAAATTTTTCGAATTTTATTATCTACAAAACCTCCTTTTTCCCAATGCAACCGATATTGGTATTTATTGACGCATCCTTTCAGTTAGCAAATAATATGTTTTATTTAGGCGTAGACCTTCTATATCCTAAAAAAGGATTTTGTATAACTATACAAAACAAAAAATCGTTCGAACCGAGTAAAAGTGAGGTCATCAGAACATTATTGTTCAACGTAGCGCATTTATTTTAGCGGCACTTATTTTCAATGTTAAAATACGATCGGAAATGCCGCGAAACATATACATAGAATATGATAAGGTCTTCGTTTCCAATCACATTTATTGTAAGGACAAACAGAGAGACATAAACAACTTATTCCTTTTTGGGTAATTTTTCGGTTACAAAGAGGCATTAAGCAGTAATTTAGCAAACATGTCTGAAATGTTACCTTTATTAATCATTTACAAAATGAACGAACGATTAATTTAAGCAGTAAGAAAAAATACAATTGTTATAACCAAAAAAAAACAATTAATAAAAGTAACCTAAACTACTCCTGGCTACTCCCTTTTCAATATTAGCTGACACAAACCAATAGAAAGCCAGCCAGACAGACACACAGAGAGCTTTAGGACTTTGTTTTTAAGAACGGAAGCTTTAAAGCACTGTAGGTAACTCTCAAGTCCATTCTAGAATTTGTAGTTGAAACTTGGTAACGAATTGCTTTATAAAAATGCTTTGTTCAAAGTACTAACTCCTGACTAACTAATGGTAATTCGAAGTTCGGATTTTAAAATGTAAATGGGGCTTTAAGGATTAAATAGTTTTAACTAACAGTTTAGGGCTTAGGACCTGAAGTTCTTTTGGTGGACTCTGATACAAATAGCCATACGTATCCAGTTATGATACAAACAAACATAAAAATAGTTAAGCTTAATAATAAGAATTAAGAAACCCCCGACTCATGAATGAACCTAACCTAACCCAACCTTATTCGTTTAGGAGCTACGATGTTACAGACAAGTACACAGATACACACGTTAAATTTACAACACCCCTATTTTGTGACTGGGGTACAGATGTATTGATTTATCTGTTATCTTAAACCATTACCTCTTTTTTACAATTTATATAACACAAGCTCAGTGCCATAAAACAAACAGTATCTATATGCACACCTAATTAGAAATAGTCAATATGTACGTGAGCGTAATTATAATACCTAATTAATTATTTGACAAATGGCTAGGAGTAAGATCCCACATATTCGTTAACATTTATTTTTGTTTTCGGTGGGCTGTTACTTTCACTTACGTAACGTGCACGATTACTTTTTATGCACTACAGGGTACGGACTACGGTAATTGCAATATAAATTGTACACAGTGTACTGTAATAAGCAAAATGTTCGCTCACATAATGTGGAACGCGCAAGTGGGATTCGAATCTCCGTTTCTGGGTCAATGTTAAAATAAGATTAAAAAAAAAAAAAACAGTTGTCAGATGTATCGGTAGCAGAAAGCCTTTTTAAGAAATAAATAAAAAAAAAAGGCAATACCCCCTGAAGCTTACCTATATTGACTTGGCAAATATATATATGCAAAGGTATTTATTATATGCACTTTATTTACAGTAACATCTGCAACGAACAGTAATCACATATTGTGTTATAAACAACACCATAAAAATATATTGGCTTCTTTTAATATATTATATTTTAATTTTTGAAATTTTTGAAACTTGAAAGGAATTTTGCTTGGATTATCAAATGTGAGGAAATCTAAAACTTGTGAATCTTTGAAATTCTTTCGAATTCTTTTAAATGCTAGTAACAGAAACTCTAAGTTTAAAGTTTTATGTTAAAAATTCACCTTGTTACCACAGGGCAAACGCAAGTTTCTTGCATTTTTGAATAGCCCTAAACATGTAGATTTTACATAATGATTAAAACCTTTTGATATGATTTTTTATTTTCTTATCAAAATAACCATATACATATATAAATCGCGATAGTTTATTATACCACAGGCAACAGATCCGTTTAGAGCTTTAGTCCGTTGTGTTTTAAAATGTGTCTCTGGTCCTTTCAGGGCTTGAAGTAATGTGATAGAAAACAAGTAATTTGTAGTTCAAAGGGTTTGAAGTGTGTAGGTATTTGAATTACTTTCGAACTAGTTGACCATTCAAAGTCCTTAGATTTTAACAAGTAATTAGGGCTTCAAGGGTTAACGGCTTTTAGGTAAGGACTCTGGGTTTAGGGTTCGGAGATCTTTTGGTGAGAGTACGTTCCCAACCTATGATTATGATATCCAGATAATATAATATAAACTAGGCAAGTAAGCGAAATAAGTATCTTTATTTTATTTTTTTTTTCAATTTATCGTTGGATATACTTTCCTTGTTATCAAATAGCTCCGTTATTATTTTTTTAATATTTCACGTATGCGATAAATAAAATAATCTGCTTTTATGAAAACACAATTACTTTAGTAAAATAAGCATAAAATATCTAATAAGTTTCAAAATTATGCTAAAACAGTTATCTGGGATATTATTTAATTTATCTTTGGCTTGTAATTTTTCTTTTATCTTGCAACTAATACCATCGCAATTGAGTTTTGAAAAGTCTTCATATTTAATGAGACATTTTTTTCACGATATATTTTATATAAATATTACGATTAAGGAACAAAAATAGTTACTGATGTAAGCAAATATCTACATGGATTGTGAATATACATACACGTTTTATAAAGTACTATAAGATTTATTTATCTACGTATTTCGCACATGGAGATGCGATAATTTGGTTAATAATGATCAGTAATTATTATTTTAAATTATGACAGGGATTAATAAGCGCTTGAATGTGGAAGTCTGTGATAATTTCTTAGGAAAAATTGGTTCTGATTTCAACAATTCCTAAAAAATTGGCTTTGATTTTCACATTGAATTGATATAAAAAAGAAAGATATGGAATTTATAAGCATTGTTTAAAACAATTAATTTTTTAGACATTCAATTTAAACATTATTTTCATTGTAAATAATTCTTAAAGACCCGGTTATAATATATTAGGTATATGGTAAATAGTTTCTGTTTAATTCAAATTCAGTTTTCTTCAGCAGTCGTTAATTCACAAAATATCACTCTACCCAACTATTAAAATTCACGTATCTACCTTCTGTAGAATTTCATATTTTTATAACAAAATCAAGTTTTAAAATAAACCTTCAAATTTGAAAAGATTACTACCTAGTGGCAACTTTTTAGGATCCCCTAATAGACAATCATCCCCTAAATTACAGTTGAAGGGCTTATTTTCACCCGGCAATTCCATGGATAATATTGCAACATCCTCGTTGGTATCCTTTGCTTTTTTAATTCTGTCAGCTCCAACGGTTTTCGTTTTCAAATTTAGTTTCGAATGAAACTGATCGTTGAAAACGTCGGTCATGTTTAACAACAGTAATGAACGTCAAAAAAACATTAAAACAAAAACAACACAGAACACACAGCAAATGAAACACTCGCGATTCTGCGGTTGTATCTCGGACAAAACTTTACGTTTGTTCGTAGATCGGGTATTACCCGCAGAACTAATTGTAATAAGCTACGTTTTCGCGCTTTCAAACAGCGCGGTTGAATGATGAGGTGAGCGTTGCTGTTTCGCGTGCGGCACCAAGTTGTCAACAAACAACAAACTGCCGAAGTTGTTACAGCGTCATCGTCATCATCATCACACCACACGTTCGCAGTTTTGTTGGAATAGAAGTGGGTCTTTATTGAAAAAGAAAAAACGCCGATGAAAGCTGCAACTTCAGACGTTGGACAGAAAATGTAATAACATCTTACATTTCCAAAGATATTTTCCTCTGAAGTTACCACGAAGCTATACATTCACTGCTAATACACGTCTTTTTCGCGGATTTTTGATATCAATCATATGATACGACTTAAAGCATTTCCATTTGATTTTCCACTTTATCCTGTCATAGCCTATACTAAACTAGAATACTGGAAAACTTCGCAGGTGTTGTAAAGGAAAACTTTTCCGCAAAAATTGGACAGTAAGCATCAGAAGTACTTATGTAATTGTGGAAAAAGCTCAGCATCCAGTCTGACCTTATTAAGCCTGTCCTTACACTTACATTATAGAAAATATGAAATATCATGGATTGAATTGGTTTATAAAAAAAATATCTTTTAAGCCGGTAAATTATTGACATGTACTATTCCCAGTAATCGATTTTTCAGTTTTCAATGTCACAATTTCCGTGACTTTTGATTTCACTATGCGCCCTGTCACGCTCAGCCGTACCCACAGCGCCAAGTACAGGGTAAAACAAAATCGAAGACAAATCATAGGCATTTGCAAGGTCTCCCACGTATTTCGTGCAGCCGTAAGCTCAGTAAAACGCGACATTTGTCGCGGTTGTTTTATGCATCATCTTCTGCATTGCAGCCATTGCAGACAGCGCACGGATTAGTTTACAACGCCTGGGGATTCGAGGTGACTGAACAAGTGAACACGATAAAAACTAAGTAGGTATCAAACGTTTAGAAAGTTATAACAAACGATATCTACGAATAAGGTAATCTATTGTAACTTAACGTCGAAGAATCAACTAAACTCTAATGGTATTTTCACATTAGACGACAGATATTGTACCGATTAAAATTTAAAAGCCGTATAACGAAAACGTTAAAAGTTTACTGAACTTCGACAAGAAATGGACTAACGATGAGCTGAACGAAAAGCCCATTATTAATTTCTTCACCTACCTGTTTACTACAACATCCGCCATACTGATCTGATTTATCTATAAGTGATATGACATATTGTAACGCTTAAATAAAATTAGTAACATTTAGTTTATTTATATATTGCATACTATTATTATGAATATTTAGGTTAAAATAAAACCGATAAATGACAAGCGCAAGCGTCGTCTTTGTAAGTGTCCGTAAATAAAAATCTAATTAAATTATTATGCATTAGATCATTTCCCCTGATGAGTGACTTTTTAGTGTCCTTTGACTGGTTGTGGGCAATATTTACGCTTAGTTTATACGATTAGTGTGAATAAACATTACGTAAGTGTCTTAATTCGCTAACAAACTATATAAGAGATGACCAATTCGATTCGCTATTTTAGAGGCAACAGTAATTCCAAATTGGCGGAAATTTATTAGGTTGCGTGTCTATTAAATTTCCAAAAATTTCCTGAAGCGTCTTCATATATCCAAACTTGTATACATTTCATCACAGGAGTATTGTACGAGGGTGGATTGATAAGTTTCCGGCCTAACCAAGAGATGACGCCACTAGGCCTACCTTGAGGTGACATTCTATAGTACCATCCTTGGATAGCTTGTAGCNGTGTTAAAAAGTTGCAAATAAAATGGATATTTGAATATTATCTATATTTTTTTTGTAGACTTTTAAATTTTTTTAATGCATTTAGTGAAACTTCCGTTTTATTTATTAACTTTTTTTTCCTTAACAAAGACATGAAATGCCTTTTAAGGATAACTGGAAGGAAAGTTATAAATAAATTGCCTCTATTAGGAGGTTGTAAGTGAGAGAAATTGCCCAACACATACTCGCACTTGGATCTGTTCAAAATCCGCTTAAATTAATGGTTACCTTCTATCATTTTGAAAGGTTCAAGTTAAGCGCCTTGAAATTAATATCGGAACTTACTTTTCGGAACGAGTAAATTTATAACAGAACTGCTACAACCTTATAGAGTATCAAGGACTTTCCAGGAGTTTAATGGTATAAGTAAAAGGTACCTACTTAATTTATTTCAAAAATAAAGTTTAATACTGCTTTAATAATGTTGGATAAAATCATATTCAAATCAACATTAAAACTTCGTAAGTCCGAAAACTATCTAGATTTTCTACTTCTCATATCTATCCTAAGTCAAACTTTTCGAAAAACGCATTTCCCGAAAAATAAAACATCCCTAAAAATTTGCTCTAGATCATTTTTTACCTCTCATCACTCTTGTTTTTGTAATATATCTCTTTATCTATATCTCCTTTTCCTGTTTTTTATCTTTTCCAACACCTCAAACGCTCCTAACTTTTTCTTATTTTTTTAAGAAATTCAACAATAAAAAGAAACCTGTTACATACTTAGACCTTTTCAGATTTTCTCCAGGACAAAATAGCCTATTTCAAACTGAAAATCGTCATCTTTCCCGAAGTTAGAAAATGAATTAAGCACTTAAAGGATCGGGCCTATAAAGCGATAAAAAAGTTTTAAAAGTATTAATTTATTATCAGAACAACATAAAAATGGAACTTGACTGTAAGTTTAAATTCATAACAGGTGACCTATGTTAACACCACGACAAAACCTTGACCGACAAGCAGAAAAAACACGGACTCGCAAAAAACCGGCCGGTTGTGAACTTGAGGCCGCGAGATGCTGTCATTTCTTAAAATAAATAAGACAATATCTCGTCTTCGTCCGCTTCATACACAATAGGCTGTTTAGATAATGTATGCTTTTATTCACACCCACCGTTCTGAACACTACTCAAGTCACTCACCACCCACCGGAGCTTTAACGCGGAAGTCATCGACAGAAACACCTGGAGAAATATGTAGGTACATCTTCATTTCATTAAAAATATAATTTATGTTACGAATAAACTGACACGTCGTTTGAAATTAAAACCTATCAGTTTTCATTGACCACTACAATAACAGTATCGTTTGTTGTTTGAGATATTGCAAAAAAAAAAAAAAAACTATCCAATTACAATTCAAAATGTTAAGAAACAGTGTCTCAGAATGTATGTTTATTTCTTCCCCTGGTACGTTTGGATGGAGTGGATGTGCGTGTCCAACCAGTCTTAGGACTGACAACCTTATGATGATGATGAATAAGAAGGGGTAAATTATCAGCCCCCAAAAGGGCATGCGGAATAAAATCGGAGAACAACTCTATCTATCGCTAGTTTCCGGTCTGTTATATCGGGTTGGATATTCAGGGTGGGCTAGCATAAGGACCAGAACTCAGTATACCATATTAATCACATAATAGTGGGAAATAAAACTAAAAATGATATTGCAGCTGACCAATTTTTTTTTAAAACAAAATTTACTATTTACGTATAAAACCTGAAAAATGCAAGGACAGAATAATTGCAAAATCACCTACAGTATTAAGACACTTTAAAGTAAAAAGCATCACAACGTGCAAGAATGCGTATGCATCATGCAAGTGTATAAATTCCGTTCGTCAGTCTCTTTTTCATAACGTGATGTGATGACCAAAACTGGCGTTGTTGTTTTTATTTGTTATTAGTGTGCAAGGTGACCACCGATTGCCTTTTACGTATGACGCTTTCGAAAATATAGTCTACACTACGAATGACTGTTGCAAATTACAGTCGCATTTAATATACCGATCGTTAATTTAGTCTGACAGATACACGAAACTAACATAATATTTCATTAGACAAGTAAATGATTCAAGTTTTTTTCTATACTAGACTCTAAATGCACTCGGTCTATGTTAAACTCAGAATTTCATCTTTCCAGAAGTGAGAATGAATGTAGCAGTTAAGAGAATTGTCCTCTTAGGACAAAAAAATAGAGAAAATTTAATGAAACTAAATAAAAATGTATTTATAATTAAGGCCAGCGTACGATTCCGCCCCGAAAGTTTGGGTGTCATTAAAATTTTCAAGGTAAACTTTTCCATAATTTGAAAAATTAACATTTCTACTTTATTTTTTCGTAAGCATTTTCGTGCTTCACGGAAATTGGAAAACAATAATAAGTTTGCCAAAATTGAATACTGTCACACCCCAATTTTCATTAGAGGGGAAGCATCAAAGTGTTTAATCATTTCAAACTATTCTTACTGATCAAATTAAATTTGCAATTGCAATAATTTTTTTATAAACTCTCTAAACTATTAAATTTATTGTGCACTAATATTATCAATTTAATTAAATATTCGGGATTGTTGAATATCGATTCTCAATAATAATCAGAATCTGCATTTCATTTTACTTTCGTTATTAAAAGTGGCACGTGTCTTTTAAAGAATCTTCTGCAATCAATACCTAAGTTGTTCAAGGTATGCAGACCATAACTATTTTAGGAGTACTTAACACTTTTTTACGACCGATTACCTAATCTGCAATAAACATCAACATAAAGGACTCGTTTTCCCAAAAACGTCACAACCTCTTTTTCGGTTTCATATAAAGAAGGAAGAATCTTTTTATTCATCATTTTAAGTTGAATGAAAATTTTAAAAAGAGCAAAAATTATAAATTAAATATCAATTAAACAAAAGATTTCCTTCAGACTTATATAGAAAAAATACTACTCTACAGCTTAAGTCGAAATTCGATATTCATCTGCTTTTAACATAAATTCAAGGACCATGAATTAGGGCAAATTGTTCACCCAAATTTTCCGAAATTGAAAGTTCAAACAAAC